AAACGTACCACCTCTGGCTTAGACAGTCAATAAAGTTTGAGTTATTTCTTTTTTTTTAAATAAGGTTTTTACAAAACAATTCAACATCCATTCTTCCCATTCCTAAGACATCGGTATATCCCCTTTTGTTTAGCATCTTACATACTTTCCATTCGTTTTTCATTTGCAATTTCTTCTTTACATTTATAATTCCTATAAACCAGGGGTTAGCAACAGTCTGGAGCCGCATGTGGCTCTTTCGTCTCTCTGCTGCAGCTCCCTGTCGCTCAAAATATGCGTCACAACCGCCAATGTGCGACACCTGCCGGCACACGATTTATTGAACTTTTCAACCCCAGGAGGACAACCAGGGATAAATCCAAGAAAAGAGAAGTTCAGAAGAAAACAGAACATTTAATTCAACGACATATGCTAGTTTTGTGGCTGCTCAGGAAATAGTCAGGCATGGGAAGGCTTTTGTGGCTCCTGGTGTTTTCTTTTCTGTGGGAAACGGGTCCAAATGGCTCTTTGAATGTTTAAGATTGTTGACCCCTGCTATAAATTAATGTTTACATATATCAATATTCTACTTTTATTCGTTATTAGCATTCTCTAACCACTGATACAGTTTGTCCCATACTGTATATTCTTTTTCTCCTTTTATCTTGCAGTTTGAGAATTAATTTAACCATTTCCACGCAGTCCATTATTTTTTTAATTATCATGTTTTCAGAGGGCACATGCTATTCTTGCTGCTATCAGTATATGAATTATGATATAATTGATTTCCTTTGTAAACGTTCCTCTAATTATCCCTAGCAAAAACATCTCTGGTTTAAATTGGAATTGAAGGCCTGTTATTTCTTGCAACCAAATTCTTATTTTACTCCAATATTTCCTTGCTTCTGGACAGGTCCACCACATGTGGAAGTATGAGCCCTGTTCATGTTTACATTTCCAACATCTGGGACTCAAATTTGAATAATTTTTTGCCAGTCTTGCCGGTGCTAGATGCCAACAGCAGAACATTTTGTATACCGTATTTTTCAGAGTATAAGATGCACCTTTTTCCCTCAAAAGAGAGGCTGAAAATTTGGGTGCATCTTATACACTGAATACAGCATTTTTGCCTCCTGAAACCCCGCCCCCTTTGCAAAAATGGCCGTGCATAATCTTTAGGAGGCTTTCAGAGTGCTCATGGGGTCTGGGGAGGGCAGAAATGAGTGAAAGGGCAGAGTGCTCATGGGGTCTGGGGAGGGCAGAAATGAGTGAAAAACGGCCCGTTTTTTGCTCAATTTTCCCCCCGTACTCATAGATGCCATTTTTTTGATGAAAAACAGACTATTTTTTGCTCATTCCCCCCCTCCCCCCGGAACACTCTACAAGTCTCCTAAAGGCTATTCATGCCCTTTTTCTAAAAAAGGGGGAGGGGCATTTTCACGAAAAACAGGCCGTTTTTGGGAGGTTTGCAGAGTGCAAAACCTTTTTTTAAAAAAAATTGCCTCTTCAAAACCTTGGTGCGTCTTATACTCCGGTGCATCTTATACTCTAAAAAATACAGTGTTCTCTTTGTATGAGGCTGACAAAGTTTGAGTTATTTCATTCACCTATTCATGGTGTTATTTTCATAAATAAATTGCTCTTGTTTTTATTGTCCTAATATCATGCTGTATGCTTTAAAGGACTGTTACCACTGAGTTTATCAAAATGCTGGATGTGGCTGGATGGACTGAGAAGCAGACAATGTTTTACAGCAGTGTTTCGCAACCTCAACTGCTTCAAGATGTGTGGACTTCAACTACCAGAATTCCCCAGCCAGCCATTGGGGAATTCTGGGTGTTGAAGTCCACACATCTTAAAACAGGTCAAGTCGAGAAACACTGCTTTTAGAGACATCTGGAAGATGTCAATCACACAACTACCTCCCTTCTAGTCATTAAAAAGCCACATCCTTTTTCATGCAAGCCCAAAGATGTTGTAGCTACTTTAAAGACCTACTATAAATCATTTTCAGGAAGAATTTCTTGCAGCCCTCAAAGCATGCAATATTAAATAAAAATTCCCATTATATTTTTCTGGTACTATACCTGACAAAAATATTTCTGGCTTATCTATCTAGAATAGAATAGAATAACAGAGTTGGAAGGGACCTTGGAGGTCTTTTAGTCCAATCAACTGCTTAGACAGGAAACCCTACGCCACTTCAGACAAATGGTTGTCCAACATCTTCTTAAAAACTTCCAGCATTGGAGCATTCACAATTTCTGGAGGCAAGTTGTTCCATTGATTAATTGTTCTGTCAGGAAATTTATCCTTAGTTGCAGCTTAATTTCTCCTATCTGCAGCTTTAACATTTTTCCTAATCATGTGTGTATTTTAGACCAATATTTCTTTGCTTTCACACGTCCACTACATATGATAATACGTGACCAGTGTCTGATTACATTTCTAGCATTTGGCGGGCATGTTTTAAAACATCTTAGCTGGTATTGCCGGTGGTAAGTGCTACCTATAAAACATTTTGTACAGGTTTTTCTTGTATAGGTAGTTGCCATTGTCAGCTTATAGTTTCTTTCCCAAAGTTTTTGCCATTTGTCTAGTTTTAGGGTAAAAAGTTGGAATTAAGATTGTTGGGAGAAATATCAACAACCTCGGATATGCAGATGATGCCACTCTAATAGCAGAAAGTGAGGAGGAACTAAAGAGCCTCTTGATGCGGGTGAAGGAGGAGAGTGCAAAAGTTGGCTTGAAACGATCCTTGCAGTCCAAAGGATCGATCCTGCGATCCTTTGGACTGCAAGGTGATCCAATCGGTCAGTCCTAGAGGAGATCAACCCTGACTGCTCTTCTGAAGGCCAGATCTTGAAGAGGAAACTCAAACCCTTTGGCCACCTAATGAGAGGAAGGACACCCTGGAGAAGAGCCTCACTCTGGGAACGATGGAGGACAAAAGCTCTTTAGAAGGCCGGATCCTGAAGCAGAAACTCAAAGACTTTGGCCACCCAAGGAGAAGGAAGGACTCCCTGGAGAAGAGTCTCATGCTGGGAACGATGGAGGGCAAAAGAAGAAGGAGACGACAGAGAAGGAGGTGGCTGTATGGGGTCACTGAAGCTTGAGCTTAAATGGACTCCAGAGGATGGTAGAAGACAGGAAGGCCTGGAGGTACGTTGTCCATGGGGTCACGATGAGTCGGACATGACTTCAACTAACAATAAATAAATCATTTTCAGATTTCCATACCATATCTAAAGCACTTTTTTTACACCCTTAGTTCTGTACCTAATAAATCAACCAGGCAGCTAATTAGCTGCCCCCTTTAGTATATAAGAAAGTGTACTGTGATAACCGCAGGTCATAACACATTAAGACACAAACAATTTAAAACACAGTAACTAATGTAGACATTAAGAACAGTCTAAGAATGTCTTAAATTACAGTTCTAAAATGAGCAACAAATTCCAGCCTAGCGTTACCACATACTTGGCGTCTGGTAAAATTAATATTTTCTATTTTTAACAGATAATAAAGTTAGCACTTGGTGCTAATATAAAGAAATGCGTTGGCTAATTAAAGGTTAGTGTGCTCTGCCTCAGAGGCTGCAAATCTGCTAACATTATGGCCTTGCATTTTTGTTTTAATTGTTCCATAGAAAGGTCAACTGGGCAACATGGGAAAAGCCTCCAAGCCAGCAGAGGGGACCTTGGCCCATAAATCCCCCCTGCCAGCCATTAATTGTTGAATTGCAACCTATGAATCAAGCAACCCCAGGTCATGGATGGGGGA